CTTCCTTTCTTTCTTTCTTTCTTTCTTTCTTTCTTTCTTTCTTTCTTTCTTCAGTCTAATCTACTATCTACTACATATTTTTTCTTTGTATATTTTCAAATTTCTTTTTTAATCATTCAAACCCCTATTTTATTTATTTCCATCGATAGACGAAACAGTGAAATCATCGTTGGCTTTTCATCGAAGGAAAACGACTCCAAWCAACAACCAAGACGGTTGAGCTCCTTCGCTAAAATTCCCGCCAAAACACAACCACCGCCTACCATACTCTTGACTGATTTTGACCGCGAAAATATAAACCGTTCACCACCAAAACCCTTCCGACTCAAACCTCTCTCGTCTAAAATAGAAGACTCTTCTCTTATCAAACCATCGACACATAAATCAATGGAAACCCCTCAACGTGGTGATACTGTTGTCGAAGTTCACGATTCTCGACCTGATAAACACCAAAATCTAGACGTTTGTGTAAATATAGAACCGAATAGCGATAATGAAAGTACAGAAGTTGCTCAAGGATTGGAAGAGCTAGACCAAACGGACGATGAGCGCTGTTCAAATTTGGGGTTTTCACGCTCTAGTTCATCAAGTTCGCTGTCATCTTCTAATGAAGCCGTGGTAGAAAACATAAACGATGAAAACGGTTGCGAGAACATTGAAGAGAATCCAGGCACCAATAGGCACTCTTTATTGAAGGCTGTGCCAAGCCCTTCTGAAGTGGACTCTGAGAAAAGCAGCTTAAAGGTTCCTGGGACCGAATCATCAGATGGAGGGCCTCGCAACAAACCTAATTTCCTGACTGGAATGTCAAAAACGTTTCATAAGTGGCGCACAAAAACGAAGAAAAAAAGGAATTTCAACTACGAGAAGTATATTATCTATCTAGAGAGCATTTTACCGACTGTGGGGTTTTCTGTTGGCGGGGTGATTATAGATTGGAATGGGATTTATACCTTTATTGTTATTATGACATTCTTGGTGGGGGTCTTCGCACAAGAAGCATTCTTTGGTAAATAGTATATTGTGAGCTGCAGCGGTTAATTTGGAACTCGAAAAGGGTCTATTGAAAAGCAGCACTTCTCAAAACAGCAGCAACAGCATAGACATCTTCTGATGTAGCGAACATGGTACATTGTGATCTTTTGTTCATCATGCCTTATATGGTGGTGTTTGTACCGAAGGTAGACCACAATGCATCATGTTTACCGAACTCAGATAAAGTCTATGGATGTTTCTTGTATTATTACCATATCTTAAAGGCGATTAATTCTAACTCTGAAAGTCATATTTATTCATTCGAATCATTTTTATCATATATATAGTATATTTTATAATCGGTCATGTACAATTCTTAATTTAAAGTAATTTTCAAACAATTGTTAAACGTCTTGTAAACACAAATACAAAATGGCACCAGAAATGTTTGGAATAAAATTGTGAATAGGCTGTGCACCATCACGTGATGGCAGCCATGACAGGAGGCATAACAATAATAGAGTACGTTTTCCCTGGGAAATTGAAATTCTCACGTAAATCTGATTAAAGCAGAGTCCGTTGTTCCTGCCGCCTGTCATGGCTGCCATCACGTGATGCTAGAAAGCTCTATATTTTATATGCATATTATAAGACTAGTCACGTGACCGACGATAATACATTATGTCCTGTGTAAAATGATTATACTGATCTTATTAAATTGTGTCACGTGACTGGCCTCGAAAAAGCCATATTTTTGTATTAATAATATTCTTTGATAAAAATAAATTATTCATTCCTACAAACCCTTGTGACCGAACTTGTCTTCATTATGAGTTTGTTTCTATGGTGATTATCGTTGTCATGGTGATTTCAAGATGGTAACGTCAACCTTAAAATTATTTGGATTCTGGTTCAGTTTGAAAGAGTTTTTCAAAGTTTTTGGCGTCCGTTTGAGCGCTTTTATCTTCTTTTTCGTCATCTAGCGATAAGAACGAGTCCCATTTGATTTCTTTCTTTTGTTTTACACGCTGTAAACATTGTTCCATGAAGCTGACGGGATCTTCTGGTCGGTTGTGGACTAGTCCAGTCACTAAGCTCTGAGAAGGCAAACGAGAAATTCATCATTTCACAGTTTCTTTCGTTCTAATTTTATTATAATTGACATTCAGTGTGGGTACACGACGAAGCTTTCCTTAGTATAAAACATCCACTTCATCATAGGAGTTTTTAAGTACACTGCATTATTGACTTTTCCATTCTTGCGTTGTCAAAAATGTCAACTATTCTTTTCATTTCGAGACATCAAAAAGCCCCATTTGAATTTACTTCGACCTCGATTTATTATTTTTTTAGTAAAAGCTTTTTACTTTTGAGAAATCAGAGTAATAACCTTGAATCTGATATGTACTTATCGCAATGTCTGTTAATATAGAGGATATAGACCATGCAGCGTAATTGATTGAGTCAAAAGTACACGATTCTTGATAGAAAATGATTACTCTATTTACAAAGCCATGCCGATGCTACGCTGAACCGATGACCAAACGAACAACTACAATAAATATTCAATCAAATTCCTAGATTGAAGAGTTTTGTGTTATGAAAACGGTAGACTTYGTGTTATCGTTATGATAAACCATGTATGCGTTGTAAAACTTGTAATTTCATGAAAACGAACCTATAAGCTATGATTCAATGTTAATAATGATCTTGCTTCGTACTTAACAAACAAACTAAATGTCTGGGAACTTAAACGTTAAACGAATTCGGACGAGTTTTGAAATATTCAAGTTGGTAATTCTAAAACGATTTAAAAACAAAGAACTGAGGTATTTGTTTGGCTGTTTAGGATTCATAGTTCTTACCTCAAACAGTTGAACTAATTCCTTCCTAGCCATATAAGCCTTCGCTTCTTCTACATCATCTGTATTCATATTTAAGCTTCGATAAAACCCTGGAAATGGCTTCTGCATGAAATCTCTAGGGGTATATACACAAAATACTAAGATCTACTGAAGATTCTATGGCTGGTYGATTCAGAGAATTCGACGTCTTGTCTCGGATCAACTTACAAGACCTAACTGTCTCTGTTGCTAAGCAATTAGCATACGGTATATTTCTGAATTGAATAAATTAGCGGATATTTTGGATATTTTAAATTCAATTTTAGATTCAAAACTCCTGGTCGTTTAAAAAGTCAGTTGAGTGAAAATGTGTTTTTCGATAAGTATTCTGTTTTAAAATGGTTTGCGTGAAGTATTTTGCACTGAAAGGGTTTCCGCGAGGTATTCTACACTGAAATGGTTTTTCACGAATTCCTCTGCACTGAAATGGTTTTCGAGGGTGCTCCGCAATAAAATGGTTTTCACGACACTGAACTGGTTTTTGAGAACTGTTCGACACCGTAATGGTTTACACCAATTTGATATTTCAATTCCTTTGTGTCAAAATGCTTTTAGTAAAATATTTTTTTTCTATTAATAATATTTATGGCTCTTTTTTTCCAATTTAATAGAAACATTCAATTGATTTCCAAGAAAATGGTCTCACCTCTAAACACCTCTGGACAAATTTTCATCTTGTTACGACTGAAAATCCAGCACTAAAATTTTATGGCATTTTTCTTTCCTCGTTAACAAGTTTTCTTTCTGTGACTATCAGCTATCTTTGCATGCTTTGTACTTTTGTCTTTTCAGTTTGTTGTTTTAAGATTAATTTCTCCTCCTCCTCCTCCTCATCATCATCGTCAAAACATATTTYCCCAGTCTTTTTTGTAATCCTTTATGCTTAAAGAAAAATGTTTTATAGTTTTAATTTGAGTACTACATTTTAATAGCAGAGAGTATGTGGACCGCGTGGCACTAATGAAATAATAGAAGATAATATAGGTAAGTTGTAGTGCTTGGGAACGAGGTTATTCCGGGCGAAAGCCCTTGGAATTAAATTCGGAAAAATTAATTTCCGACCTCGCTGGGATTCGAACCCACGACCTTCGGAATTGTACTACCGATGCTCTACCGATGCTCTCATCTTTGAATCATAATTGCCGCGACCTAACATCTATTTCACCCCGGCCTGCTCTCAGTCTGACCTCTAGCTCAGCTGGTAGAGCATCGGTAGTACAATTCCGAAGGTCGTGGGTTCGAATCCCAGCGAGGTCGGAAATTAATTTTTCCGAATTTAATTCCAAGGGCTTTCGCCCGGAATAACCTCGTTCCCAAGCACTACAACTTACCTATATTATCTTCTACATTTTAATAGCAGCTGAAAAAGCCAAGACCCTAGCCAGCAGTACAGTAAGCGATTAGTGATTTTTCACAGCATCATACATGCTGCGAGAAAAAACAATAGATATATTTTGCATTCGGAAATGAAATTCTTGTCACACAAAAATATTGTTTTCTTATCAAAAAAGGACAGAAAAACGGTAAACTATCTAAAACAGGTAAGTTTTTTCTGCATGACGTCACTACTAGTAGTTATAGGTTATCATTCGTATCGGTGTTTACACGTGTGCAGTAGTGTTGTGTAAGCTKTAATGATTATCCTGAGGAGTCATACGCGTTTTAGCATGTTTTAAATTTCATTTAATTGTTTATCTTAGCGGGTTACTCAACGTCATAGATTGATCCAGGAGTTTTTGTTTGTCTTTTTAAAACGTTCATTTGAAAGTGGTGATGGTTGGACAGGAGCTTAACAGATGTTAGAATGGAAAACGTTATGTAGGAGAAAGGAAAAGAGAGCGAATGAAAAGGAAAGAGAATAATGATTCAAAAACGGACGTTTTTGAATAATCTTAAAATTGGAGAAGTTATGATGGATAAAGAAAAGGATCTGGAGAAGGAGAAGGAGAAGGAGAAAGAGAAAGAAAAGAGAACTGACGAGAAAGAGAATGCCGGAAGAGGAGTACAGAAAAACGAGAAGTCGCGGGAAGAAAGAGAAAGAGAAAAACAAAAGGCAAAATATTCTTCTTTTATTTTATCTTCTCTTCCTCTTCAAGATGCGTCACATGATAACTTTAATTAAAATGAACTTCCAGTTCCAAACATTTATGATTCCGAACGATAAAGCGAAAACACCTGATGTCTTGAAATCAACTTTTTTTTTTTGCCAGCAGAACTTTCAATTTTGCAGATTAACTTTTCATTTTTTGGGAGCAACTTAATAGCGTAGAGTCAATACAAGAAATATGCCGTTTCAGATTTGATCATTGGATGGAAACTATGAATTAATAACCCAAGTATTAAAAACTCTTGACTGACAACTGGAACACATTTTACGTTGATTACATTGAATTTCGGAAAAAGTAGGTTCAAATTATGAGCTAAAATAGTATTGAAAAAAGAGTGTACCTTGAATATTTAAAAAAAGACTTTAAAAGTCTTGATTCTTGCCAAGAACTTAGCAAGTTATTTGATCGTTGTCTTCTTTCTGGAGAATTCAGTTTTATCAGTTTGTGGTTTCCATCTGGGCAAGTGGTTGGAGAAAAATCTTTTGTAAATAGAGCTAGTTTTCAGTTTTAATCAAGTGCAGCTTAATGGTTCAAGTCAAAACAAAAATCAACCTTCCTCTTGCACAAGTGTCATTATAGTTTGCCTTGATAGCATCTTGGCATTTCTTATCCTCCGCTTTGTTGCCAAGGTTTTCGCCAAATGTTGTATTAAGACATCTGGCACTCGTTCTTCTCTCTACTTTAACATACTTACAGAAAATGGCCCTAGATTATACTTGAATTGTGAGTTCTCGGACGACGAATGTTTGTCCTGCTTTGCAAGAGAAATGCGTCAGTTTAACTTGTGAAAGAACATCTGCCTGAATTAGTCAAATTATCCTCAAAAGAAGACGGACCAAAACGTTGTTCGATCTTTTCAACCCAACTTAATTCAATAACTCATTTCTACTTTTTGAATCGGCTCGATAAGGTTGCATGCAAGGTATGATTAATTTTCAACTAACTTTCAATCTCGAGAACCAAACGTTCGTCACCCTACAGTGACGTTTTTAGGGGCCATTAAGAAACCTTCATTTTCCAAAACAAATAGTTATCTTAGATACGACAAATAAATACCACGAATGACTTGAAGATTTTTTAGATTATGAGTTTAAGTGGTTGTGCATTTTGTAGGCGAGAGAACTTGATTGAAGTAGTATCTTGGCTCTACATACTAAGAGACAAGATCTAAGGTCTGTGAACTGGAAACTTAATTTCAGTCCAGATTTCTGCAAAATGTCCAACTCAAACCAGTCTTCACCATCTCTAACCTACGCACCCCACCCTTGGACTGTCTGGTATTGGTCTTTACGAGGGATTATTGCGATCATTGCAGTTCTTGGTAATGGAATAGTTGTATGGCTGATCATTTCGCGACGAAAGCTTTGGACCAGACCAAACTGTTTTGTCTTGTCGTTGTCGCTGGCGGATTTCTGCGCTGGTGCAATTAATACTCCTTTGGAGCTCTATTGTACTATGTTGGGAACGTCTTGCAGTTCGTGGCTTGTGCAAGCCATCAAGGATATGTTTATTGTCGCATCAGTTTTCAATCTATGCGCGATGACAATAGATCGTTACGTCGCTGTAACCCATTCTCTCAGATACCCTCGTATTATGAACGACAAAACCTGCGTTCTTGTCATCGCAACAGCGTGGGGTCTTGGGATTTCCATTCCTTGGATTTTCTACATCATTCGCATTAGAGAGTTCCACACCTATCGTATCATCAGTATCTTTAGACTGYTGTTTTGCAACGCTTTACCAATGGCAGGCCTCGTGTTGGCTTACTTCAGAATGTTAAGAATCTCGAGGAAGCATCGCCGTAAGGTTGGACAACAGCGACAACAAGTTGACTTCAACTATCTGAGCAAGCGAAGAGTAAATGAGCGCAGTGAGAACAGGTCGGCAGTGCGTTTCATTGGAAGCATGGTTGCCTTCTTCGTATTTTGTTACTCTCTGACATTCTATCGTGTTCTATCTAGCTACATACTTTTTATTTCGGTACCATATGTTATTGTACCGATATCAAGGCTTCTTTATTACATGAACTCTGCGCTAAACTGTCTTGTTTATGCGCTGTTTAAAAAGGACATCAGAAGAGAAGCAAGGAACTTGTTTTGTAGAACCGGTACAGAGCAGTGAGCGTACGTGATCCAAGACACTTTCAATTTTTTCTTTACCTTTCCTTCCTGACTTTTCTATCCTCCCTTGTTTCCTTTTATCCCTTATTGATTCCCTCTATTCTTTCTTTGAATCATACCTACGTACCTATCTATCTACCTTGCTTGCTTGCTTGCTTTGCTTGCTTGCTTGCTTGCTTGCTTGCTTGCTT